ACGCACCCAACCACGATCATCGATTGATTCAGGCCGTTTCGTAAACAGGTATCTCGACGGCATTCGGCAGTGAGTCCAATAGGTCCTTGATGGCCTTCGATGAGAGCGCCTTATCATACACTGAGCTCAGGCATGACACCCTTTTGCACTTAGCCGCCCAGCACGCCAGCGCCGCAGGCCATGCCTCTAAACCACTCAACACGGTGTCCCCAGCAGGGCGGCGCTCAAGCTCAGCAAGCATCACATGCCGCAACTCGCGCCACTCAACGTACGATAGTGGCTCGCGACAACGTGGACAACGTGCCGAGGCGGTATCAACGAGTTGTGCGTCTGTGAGGAATGGGGCGTCTGCGATGCGGGCGCGAAACTGCACGCGCCGCTCGTTATGGAGCGTGAAGAGCGCGTAGAGGTCCGCTGTGCGCAGGCGGAGAAGTGATGGCTTGTGCACAGCATCGTATAGATTGAGCGTGAGCGAGCGCGTAGAAGCTGTACGCGCGTCCTCTGCCCAACCAAAGTGGCACGCCGCGGCATAGAGCCGTAAGGGCGCGTCGGTAAACGTGGGTGCGCGTAGGAGCGCGCGCATGATCGAGGCCGGGCCTGGCATGTCGTACTTTTCTGCTGCGTAGAGTACCGGCTCGACGGCATCCCATGTGTCTAGTGTTGGAATCTCGAGACCGCAGATCATGCGGAGGAGGGGTTCGAGGGTGCTCGATTCCTCGTCGAGGCCGATTATTTCGGTGTCGGTGGGAACGGTGTCTCGCTGGTTGCGGTTGTGCGATCGTGAGGATGTGGGTGGGGAGCCCTGTGGGAGGGTAAACATCGTACGGAACCAGGCCGAAGTCATTTTGAGCGTCATCGAGGGCACGCAGAAAAGGACGCTATCGCGTGAGCTGAGCACGACATCCGCGTCAAAGGAGAACAATGGATGATATTTGCGACCTTTGAAAGCTTCCGAATCTTGAGACTGAGTGGACTCGGCTTGCATGACGGCGTAGCAGGGAGGGGAGACAATGAAGAGAAACAGATGCTGTGCTGTTCCGAGTTCAAAAGACAAGGACACTGACTCGGAGACACGACCCGCGCTTCCGTAAAACTTCTCACGCTTCTCAACCACAAGCCTCAAAATCAATCATTCCGTGTTCTACTGTAAACCGTCTAAATAATGGTTTCCATATTTTCTTAAAGCGTATCGTAAATGAGCGCTCGTAATTGAAGCTTACAGTATGGCCATGAGTTTCGAAGCCCATACCTGCCACGTGACCAGGCGTCATGGCACTGCACAGCTATATCTACACAGCGATATCAAACAAAAATAATGAGCCTGATCGCAGTGGTAGGCAGATGATAACAAAATAAATGGTACAGAAACAGAAAGCACTGATCAATATATCAATCTTCAGACTAACTTCTCCAGTTGGAGACGGTAATGGGGTGGCCGGCAAGCTGTCGTGCGGCAACAAACTGCCCAATGGCTTCTTGGATAGGTCCTAATGAAAGTGGCTCCTCCAAGAAAACAGATCGCAGGGCAGGTAACACTTCAGTTACTCTTTCCTCTACGACAAGCTCTCGCAGGGCCGGCGCGATACGTGGTGTGAATTCCTGGACATGTGCAGATCCTTCACACCGGTGAATGGATGTAAAAGTTCCACCCATTGATTGCTCTCGATGTCCTCTTGCCAGTCCGGTCGCCAATATTCGTTCTCGAGGATGTGAAGGTGTTCCACCGTGTGAAGGAGGCCCTGAGGGAAGAACGAGCTGCGGACCTGTTCCAGAGATGAAAGCTGCCACTCTGACTGGTTACATAAAATTCCCAACTTGAGCGTTTCCTGAGATGTTTGTGAAAGTGTGATCCGAACTTCCAATTCAGAAAAGACCACGCGCGCTCCATCGTATACGTTGAACCTTGGGGTGCGACTGATAAACTGTGTGAGTTGTGGAGTGTCGAATATGAGTTGATGGAAGAAGGTTATCTCCAGGTCATTGAGTAAGGGGGCATCAATCCGTGCCACGAGGTCCTCCAAATATTCCCCGACTCCTTTGAACTGAAACACAGTGAGAACCGGGAGAGGCGTGCGAGTCGGAGGAGGCGGACGTCGGCTTTTCCGGTCAGGACGACATTGAGGGGAATCGAATTCGATGACGAGTCTCTCGAGCCTAGTCAACACGGACAGGCCAAAGACCATCGCCTCGGGCGGAAAGTACCCTGAATGAGGAATGCCCGAAAGTTCAAGAGTGACGAGGTAAATGGTAGACCGAAGTAATTTCGGTATTCCCGGACATGGAATGCCTCCCAATATGAGTGATTGTAGTCGTGGTGCAGAACCACCCAAGAAGGAATTAGGAAAGACAGGCGCTGTTTCGTCACGTGCTTCGCAGTGAAGTTGCAGTCGTGTGAGTGCCGGGAATGGCTGCCGCATTGCTGCGAACAGTTTTTCCAAGTGCGAGTTTGGAACATACCCCGGCCAGAGATCGATTCCACATACGCGATCGTTGCGCTCGAGAACTGCAACGATGTCATCCTCGTCCCACACTTCGTCGCCATAGACCATTACGACGATGGGCAAGGGTGGCCAGACGTCCAGTGTCTCCCGCACTGGTGTCCCGGCTCTGCAATAAAGTCGCAGATTCAGGCGTCGTGGAGACCCAAAAACGACCTTGCGCCATTTTCGGCACACGTGGACCAGCGCATACCACGCCTCTATCTGTTCTTCATACATATAATAATCGAATGTTTCTAGGAGAGCAATGTCGGGAAGCGTGTCAATTGTCACTCGGGCTACATCGCACCGGTCAACGTCAGTCCATGTTGCAATAGAAGAACGTACATGCCCGCGATTTGTCTCCTCTGTTAAATTCCTTCCCAGATGCACGATGTCGTGCATGATTTTCCGTCGATAAATCTTCGAAATTCCCATCGATCGTAGACTGATTCGTAGTCGATGACCCGGGCTGGCAAGGAAATAATGGCAAAGCGATGGCGGGGGAGACCGGGGAGTCCTCGGGGGAGACTGGATACTCGAGTTCCAGGTTATCTGAGTCAGCGGTGGAGGTGTAGAGTCGCATTCAATTTACCCTTACCCCACCTGGGCCTGGGTTTTATATGACCAACTCTATTACATAAAAAAACAAATTACTCATCGTACTCATTGGTGCCACAATAGGCGCTAGCCTGAGCCTGAGTTCGTGTTTCTAGAAAAACCTAGACTCATGTGCCCTATGTCGACTCGGATGGCTGTAATACAGCCACAGTAGGGTAGTCGGATGCAAAGTCACGGCTTTTCCGCCACGCACATCAAATGTAACTGCAATGACCAGGTGTACGCGTAAGGACCTGGACGGATGGTACCCATGAGATGTCCCAATAGTCCACTTCAGAGGTCAGGTCTAATACAGGCTTAAAGTGTTGTGTCGGTTTCAACTGCTTCAGCCTTCCGGTGCCGCCTCTTAGAAATTTCCGCTTGCGAGTCTTGAATATCTTGAATCGTGATAGCCTGTAACAGCTGCCTGTTGTGTTATGATCGAGCCGCAAGGTCGTAAGTTTTCGCCTGGAGGAAGTCTTAAGGGCTATATATCCTTGACATCGACCTGACAAGAGGTCACCGTCATCAAAGCGGTCAGCCTACGATAGTAGTCAATGGGTGCAGACAGAATGGCAGCTGTGTTGCATAGCCACGACGTTCTCCGTGTCTTCGTTGAAAGTCTGAACCTGTCGCCTACATACTAGGGCGACGTTATTTCATTTTGGCGGGGTTGGAGGGCTCCCGGGAAGCGGAGCCGCGCTAGGGAGCTCGCGCGGCGATCGGTTTCTAACACCTCCGGCTAACACGTGCATACAGTGTCCCTCGAGTCGCGCCTGGCATGTCTCAAGGGCGCGGACTGCCGGCTCGTTTCTCTTCGCAACCTCCATGTCGACGCCCATAGCCCCCTATTCTGTTCTTCCCCGCGCGCGATCGTCTTTGGTCGTGATTTACTTCGGTTTTCACACGTGGATGTGTTCAACTTCGTTTTCTCACTTGATTTGTTAGTATATAGCGTGCGTTGTGTACGGAAATAACAAATGTGCGTATCTTTCCTCATGCTCTTGCGCCTCCGTGCGCCACCGTCAAGATGCAAGGCCTCCTGCTGCTGTTGCGTTCTGCTCCGCCCGTTCTTCCGCTTTCGCTCCGACTTGGCGCGCGCACTACCGCTACCTCTGAAAGATGTGGTGAGGATGGAAGAGGGGAGGTACTGAGTACCTCCCCTCTTCCATCTTCACCACATCTTTCACTAAAACGCGTGGATGGTTGAGGGTAAAGATAATGAAGCCAGAAGGCGAGAAGTCTGAGTAGCGCTGACCAGAAAATTGAGATACACTCACTGTTTATCCGGAGTCCCCCGGACGCTGTGAACCGTCTCCTTTACAGTAAACGAGAATTACAGGATTCACGCCTCCTGTTACTACAGCATGGTTCACGTCATCAATCACTCGAGTGGGCGACCGAGCCGGACATGTGCAATATATTGAGAAGCAAGCTTTACACGAACATGGAAATAGATTGACAGACGATGCACTACCATGATACCTCTGCCTCTTGTCCCGAGATGTTTCCGCCTTCGTGCCCCTCTTTTCGTCGCCATGTCACGGTATGGTACCAGTTTCCGGAAGAGGACGAAGAGGCATTGTGGCTATGATGCGGTGATGTGGCCGCTGATGCCGCCCAGCGTTGCTTATTTCTCGGCCGATGATGCATATGAGGATCAGTGCTAGTGGTGCTGCGGTACTGAGAGTTGCCCGCGAACATCTCACTTCGACGCACAGACAATAGGGTCGATCGACTTGACATCTAGGGCGGCATGTTATGGAGTAGGGGCGTCGGGTGGGGTGTAGTATATCACAAATCTGGCCTATAGCATCTATCGATGATACTTCAGCAGATCTACCGTCCACTAGCACGCCAGGTGCCAATTAGGGTGAGCATGAGCTAACCAAAAAAAAAAAAAGTTGGTGAGGTAGATATTCTTGTCCCTGGCCGGATTCGAGCCGGCGGCTTGACGGAATTGTGAGAAACCACAACGTCATGATTTGACCACTAATCGACAGGGACGCCATCTCATCGGAATCCCTTAATCACATAGAATATGATTGCCTGTTCAGTCTTCTAGACGTAGACGCTAGACGTACATCATAGGCTGCGCTCGTGGTTGGCGTGCTACTCACTCACTAGAGGAGACATGCCTATGTAGAACAAATGCTGGAAATACTGTATATGCGTATTGAAACGGGGGAAGCAGGTTTAAGAATGGATATATCATACACATCAGAGCCTGCGAGACAGGAGGAGACCATAGTTCAATATGCGTTCCATCCTGATTATAAATACTAATACTCCAAACCATCACACACCATAAGGGAAACATAATGGAGATCGAATCTATCTCCAGAAGAAGATGTCAAATGGACCAGGTGGCGAATCTCGGCGTGCACCGCCACGCCCACGCATTGGTGGCATTGGTGGCAACAGTGGCGGCGCCTGGGGTCTCCTTGGACTTGACTCTCCACGAGACTCAGCTGCAAGCCGAACAATACGCTTGAGAGAGAAATTTTGAACGGGAGGTGTGCGTGCGGGGAGCCGGCAGGAGGGGCAAGTATAGGGGGGCATGCCACGCGCGCCGATCTGGCGGTGGTGCGCGAGGGTTGTATTGAACCAATCAGTTAGACAGCCCTGGCAAAAGGTGTGGCCACAATTGGAGAGGCTAGTTGCGGAATCAGTTCTCAATCTGCCTAGGTGCGGCAGGGACGCACAGATAAGGTGACCACATTGTATGCGTGCATACATCGCAACAGATAGCATCATCCAATGCGGAAATACTCAACTGTGGGGTTGTTGGTAAGGAACGGACAACAACCGAATAAAAGTATTGGAATACACTGACAGTGTTCTGATTCGTGTTCGCTTTCAACTGATTCATGGCAGCTGAGAGATGTTTATTCTCATTCTTCAGCGTGTCGCGTTCCTAATAGTTAAACGGGACGAATTATGTTTATACGGGGGGTTCATGCTGCAATGAGGAGAACATGCCTGCTCGAGCTCGAGACATCGTCGTCGTAGGCTTTCCAAATCCGGCTCTTCAGCCTTGACGGGTGTCTCGTCTGATATTTCGAGTATTTCTCCTTCCACTCTCGAGCGTCTAGGCTTTCGTGAACCGCGCTTGGGTGCTGATAAGGGCTCGTCCTCTTCGTCCGAGGAAATGACGATGATCGACGCTTTATAGGGTCGTCCTGCTGCATGTGAACGAGCGGCTGAGGGGTGACGATGTGCGGGCATGATGGTGCTGGGGAAGAAGTGAGTGAGCGAGGACCGGAGTTGATAGGGAGTAAAATAGAGGCCAAAATGGGTGTCGGTGTTGAGATGTATCTGACGAGAGTAGGTGCCACAGTGCCCCGTGCCCGATCAATGTTCAACTCTGTCGGGTCGGCCCGGCCCGGACGTCCGTTCCTTGACATTGGCACTGGCACCTGGCCTTCCGTTCATAGCTACCACTGCCACCGCCTCGTGCTAATTTCCCACAGAACAATACTAATGCAACGCTTTGGCCAAATTGGAATGACGGTCGCCACATGGGAAGCGGTGCTATGCAGTATGACAGGCCACAGTCGCACAATAAGCTCGTCAAGTAAGTTCACCCATTGTTTCACCTTTATTGGCATAATCCAGGCATTGATTGAGTGTTGTGGCAGCTCCTCGCTCTGAAAGCACCACATAGCGGGAAACCCTTAATGGGACATCATGCATTATACCTTGAGCGAGTGCCTTCTAGGACGTTCTTGATCCCTTTGACTAACAAGCCTTCCTCGGGTGGCAGATGTCCCAACTCCGATCATGTCCACAGCCCGAATCTCTTTGCTTTGTTGGATAGAGCAACACGCGCGGCCATGTCGTGGCTGATCACGACCTCCGTTCGCTTGGTCCACCACAACTTTGTTGCTTCGTTACCCGGATTCCCGTAAGTGTTTTCTTTATTCAAGTGACCACCTCTTTCATCTCTCTTTCATCTCTCTGAACACAGTCACCAGCATGCTCGCTGTCCTGTGCTCTACTCCCCGCCCGCCGTTGGGTGTTGCCCTCCTCGGCTTGCTCATAACAGCAATAAGTTCGACACTCCATCTGCTTCCCTATATTATATTCTGCAGTATCATTGTTCTGTCGATTTGGGTCCCGTCGCGCCCTGTCCATCCCAAGGTCGTCTACTATCCTATCGATGGTTACTCGCAGCACGCCTGTGCGGTCTACACATCCGATGCCACCCCACCTGCAGACGAGAACGGATCATTCGAACTAAACGCGTGCCTCGGCGTACTACTTTTCATGCTTTCCATTCCGGTCACGTCGATCCTCGAGAACCTGTTGATCCGCCCTACTCGTGATCTTTTCCTTCAAACTGTCGAGTGCTGGTTCGATATGCGCTACGTGCAGCCTCTACTAGCCACGGGTTCTTGGCCAGACACATGGACCCCCCTTCTGAACGCATTTCGTTCATTTCAGTTTGTAGCGGATTTCATCGACGAAGTTATGAAGAATGATAAAAGTGAGTCTCTGCGGAATTATTGAGGACCACTACTCAAGGGTTTGGTTTGCAGGTCCGAATTTGACCCGTGAGAAGAAAGTGCGCTGGGCTGATTTGCAACCCCCCGGCGGTGACATCGGGTGTGGTGGTGCTTCTTTACGGACGCGTCCTGCTGTGCGAAAAACGTCTTTATCATCCCGTGCTGTGCACCGGAAGGAGCGGAAGCTAAACCGCAAACACACCTTAAGTCCTGACACAGTTGTCCCTAATGAGGTTGAAGAGTAAGACGCTTGACAACAAGTCTTGCCTTGACATATTCCTATCTTATCTTATCGTAGCTCGTTCAACGATCCTCTTCCCCGAAAGACGTTTATCTCTCCTCCACGTACATTAATATTGCCGTCGCCGTCTCGGAACCGTGACCCTCGGTATGTCTTTCAACTGTTCCTCAGCCTGGCGTTGACTCTATGTTAGAGCATCATTACCTATATCGAAGGATCTCTCTCGAATGACTGGGGTGTTCCTCCGCAATCCTTCTCGTTTCAAGCCCGTGCCACGTCCCCTGTCTAACGACATGACCAGATCGTTATCTTCGCCCGCCACAAACACCGCCACATTGGCTCCGATTCCACCGCTCAAGGATTGTGACTCTGTTACCTCTTGCCCCGATGTCGTAAAGGTCCCAGAACGGGTTGAACAGATCCAGTTGGTACAATCCTCGGACGGTGTGGTTCCCCTTGTCCCACGGCGGTCAGAACCCGAAATATTGATGCGTCCTTGGGTTTCTGTCTCCGCCTCAGAGGAGCAACGACCCACTCAACCGCAGTACACAGAGTTCCCCGTCCTTTATGCAGGCCCACACCAGGAACAACACATACCCGTTTACGAGCCCCAGCTTACTACGGTCCCAGCAGTGTCGAGCGCTCCGGAGGTATCGATGGACTGTCCCCAGCCTCTCCTGGACCCTATGACATTCCAACAGCAGCAGTTATCAGAAGCCATGGACATCGACCTTGACTGCCCGCAGTCGCTTATGCACAGACTGCAGCAATATTCCTCTTCAACCACGGAGTCGGCATCACCTGCGTGTCCCCAGTTTCATCTTCTGCGGAATCAGTTCACCAACGCTTCCCAGTCCCAGTTTACCAATGATGTATTAGGATTTCGTCGTCAGGTCGTTCCTTCTCATACGGCCCGCCCATGGTGCAGTCTACATGGTCACCTCATTCCCGGGGAGAACCTTCGCTCCCATCGCCTCAAGAACTATTTCCAATTGGATCGTGTGCACCCGAGTGGACGTCTTCGTACACATCACCTGTGAAAATGACCCATGCCTCGCAACCCGTCATTCAGCCGCTCCAGGATATCAACGCGACTGAGACATCTGCATTCAATGTCTATCCAGATGCCGCCACTCCCTACTATGGTTTCTCACAGCAACTAGCACCGGCTAACCCAACGCGGTCGAGCCACGCTGAATGTATCTCTACCGGAGATATGTCACTTGATGAGAACCACGACCTGTCGCAGCCCGTCTCTGCGGATCACGTGCAGATGCAGCCCATCGATCAGAACGTTCACCAACCTCAAACGCTGCCTGTTTCTTCGTCCAACCGTCAAGTAGTGGTCGTTCCCCGGCCTTCCTCTCCTGTTGATGCGGTCAAGGCGAAAGGTGAGACGGCGACGCCTGTATCTGACCTGGAAATAACTGACATTATGAACGACAGCCGATGACAAACATGACGATGGCAGCAGTTCAGACTCTGATTCTGATTACACGGAATCTTCCTCTGAGGATGATAGTGATTCTAATGATACTTCATCAGACGATGATGAAGAGGACACTTCTGTTCCCATCGCAGGTCCTTCCAAAGCCGACAAGGGGAAGGGGAAGGCTCCTTAGTCTAGCCTAGACCCGCAACAAGGTCGGAACGCTACGACCATCACCAACTAGGACCCAGAAGATTCTAACACCACCGCCACCGCCACCGCCGCCAGACTAATCAAACTATAGGCTCTAGCGAGAGCAATTTTATATACCTCGAGACATCGTAGATATTGTTTCGACATTTTCTTCTTTCCTCGTCGACCCTGGTTTGGCGGTGTTCCTGGCCTCAATCCCCGAATCCCCGACCATAAACTGTAGGGTTTAGTTGCACGTGGGCCACGGAGCGAGCCACATTTGGTAAAAAGGAGGCTTGGATTGATCGGGGCGTCACTAGCGTTCGTGGGCTTGCAAGCTTTGGTTTCATCTCTTGTTACGATTTTCTTCACAATCTAAATGTTATTTGGAACCACAAAGACTGTCAGATTGTTAGCCGCGTATATTTCCTCAAGTCTTATGCCATAGTTGTATGAGACAGCACGTGTAGCGGTGCACGAGACTTGGCATATGACGTAAGGTGTGGTTTCCGGCAATGTGTCAAACGAGTCGGAGATGGACGAATCACCGGCTGACTAAATATTTTCAAGTGAGCAAGCCGGCCGGATCCAATTACTGTATTGATAATTTGAAAAGCCTGGCCCCGGATTTCGCCGT